TCCGACAGCTCTCCGGTCTCTCCAGCTCTTTCGCTTTCTTTTTCCGCCTCCCCCCTTCGCTCCCGCCATCGTTGTTGTGCTTCTCCCTCTTTTCCTCAGTCACACTTGTTCTTTTTGGCAGCGACCGCACATTATTTTTACTCTCTCTCTGGATTCAAAGGGAAACGAGTGCGAGGCTCTGCTCCAGACATTTGTTCTGCAGACTATTTGTAGCCTGTGTTTTTTACATTCCTGTAGTCTCGCAGATTTTTCTTCTTCTTGCTCCTCTCTTCAGGGTTTGTTCACTGCACGCTCTGTCCATCATGGAAAAGCATTTAAGAAATTCCTCACTGGAGAATTGTTGATAGTGTAAATTAAATATAGTCCAGATGATTGGGAAAGCCTCCTTGAACGTTCTTGCGCCACAGCGAACTGTCTGTTGCTCAACCACGAAACAAGTCGGCGCTTGAGAAGTTATTCTCAGTCCATCTAAAAACAGATATGCACTCATCAAGGTAACACTCGTTCTGCTCCACGACTGAAAGCACGTGGACCCTCAAGATTTCAGCCACGTGTGATAGTTTAACGATGATCAGCTGCTCTAACAGCCAGGTTTCATTCTTTCCACCAGATGTTGCCTTGCTTGGCTCACATCAGCGTTGCTAACAGTGAAGTTGGCTGATAAGATCTGCCTCACAGTCGGCCTTCAGTCCTAAATGTGAAGCTCAGGTTCAAACACTGAGCACGAGTCTTAGAGCTGTAGAGATGTCCACCTCTGGCTGCCGTCATGTCCACATCCTGCCATGAGAGTGAGCCTCTCATCACCAGTCGTTGCACGCCTCCTGTTTCCTGGTGCAGTTCAGGAGAAAGAAAATAGTTTTCTGTCTGAATTTGTTAGGTAATAATAACACATTTTATTTATAGGCGCCTTTCAGACCCTCAAGGTCACCTTACAATAACACGAGAACAATAGCAGCAATAAAATATAATAAACATGGCAAAATAAAATTTAGACATAAGGTAAAAAAACAAAAACACAAGCATAAAAGTGTATAGGTCACAATTTCTGGAAAGAAACTTTGCTGCTGAGTT